GGGGAGGAGTATAACTGTAAAAAGGAACCCATGATCAAAAGGGAGTGAGAAAACCCAAGTTGCTTTAGCTCATCTATCTGCAGTGAACATAGCCTTTGTGTGAAGCTGAGAAAATACAGAGTGGGCAGGGTGTGTTTATTTTTTAAAATAGTAAAGCTGTGGGGGGAAGAAAGCAAGTCTGGGGTTTTTTTTTGTGTGTGTTTTCCTAGTTTACCCTTTAGCATCTTTAAATGTATGATGGTACTTTCCATGTTAGGTTGAGCCATGATCTGTCTAAACTATTACCTTGTTTAGGTAAGAGCTAGTAAGAAATGTTTAGAGAGAACTGTAAGAAATGCATTGTATTTAGGGGGAACTTTCTTATATCTCTTAACAGTTTTGGGAAATGCCTTTTTTTTTCTTCTGTGATACAATAATCAATTAAAGTTCTTTACAAAAGATCGTTCACCATCTGTATTGGATGTCAGACATTTTCAAAACATTTGACTTCGGGAGTAGATAGCCATACATACTTTAACCAAGCTGTGTAGTCACTTGTTGAGCATTGTATGAAAGCTGTTGAACACAGTATACAAATTGCTTGTGAAATTGGGAAACAAATTCACTGCATTCTTTAAAGAAGTGATGGACTAAAAAAACACAGGCTCTTCCTTCCATAAGCATCACCAGAAGTGTTATCATTGCAAGTACCGAAATGTATTAACTAACCTTTAAAGCTATAAATGAATCTAGAATTGCCATATGAACTTGTCACATCGCTCAAAAAATAATTAAATAACTCGAAAGTTTGTTAATCGTAAGACAGTTACTCTAGACCTAACTCGGAGTTGTTTAGATAATACTAGAGAGAATGTCCTTCTGGGCAAATCTGTTTTCATGCTTGTGGTTATTTAAGATACCCTCCTAGAAATCATTGTAATATTTAATTAAAATGTTAAAATACTTAATTACTCTAAACCACAGGGGATGCCAATATTGTAATTGCATTTAAGATTAGGAAGAAATTTTTTTTCAAGTCTTGCTGATGTTATTAGCAGTGGCATCAGCACTTTACCCTTTTTATTGTTTAAAAACTGATTAACTGCAGCATTATTGTAAAACAGGATAATGTAAAAAGTTAATATGCATTTTAATATATCACACTAACACAGTGTGACAGTGTTGAAAGGAATGGCTTTAAACACATCTGTAGGCTTGTTTGATACATTATGGCCTTGCTGTTTGAAAGGGGTATTTTTTTCCTGCTCAGCAGGATTGGCTTTTTATTTGTTTTGAGTTTTTATGATGGGCAAAATGTTTCTTTTTAGAATACATGCTCGGAAGAATGGCATAAGTGAGTATATGTTACAGGAAACCAGTGTAAGTTATAAGGAGGACAAAGTGCTTGAAATTACCCAGTATTTTTTATGGACATGTTGTTATTAGTTGAAAGAGACATTAAACTAACAGTGAAAGATACATGACTGGGAGCTGAAAACCTGTTTGGGAATGTTGCAAATTGATTTATGCTATGGTATTGGTCTTACAAGAAAATAATAATTAAAAAAAGTTAATGACAAAAAACTGACAGTCCTGTTTAAGCACCTTGTATTTCATGGCTCTTAATTTATATAAAAGTTTGCTTCACTTGTCTTAATGTTGCAAAATGTGCCCTAAACCACTTCATAGCTGTATCGGGTAACTGCATAGCTACCTGTAACTTACATAGTAGGTCAGAGGAGGAAGTTCATCCACCAGTGTGTGTTTCCCTCTGGTTCTTGGTATGGTGTGTGTGGAAGAATAGGAGGAGGTAGCTGCCAGTGGGTAAGCTGATAATGATCTTGGGGTGATAGAATTGGGGAACAAGGAAAAAGGGAGACAGACCACCTGTATATGCCAAAAGAGTGTGACTAACTGTTCTAGATAGTTGGTATCAGTGGAAGGAGAACATCTTCTGTGTGACTACTGTCGCTGGCGCTTACATTCAAGTCCACCATGGAGATGGGAGAAAAAATGAAAGGGAGAATATTGTTGATGGGGGATGCATAAAAGTTTTGGGAAGCTCATCTACCTAGATTTCTTTTCCTTCCTAGCCAAGAAGGGAAGGTGCTTTTCTAGGGGGTGATTCAGAACATGAGCCTAAAACAGCTTCTTTAGAAAAGTTCCTGTCAGTCTCTTGGTTATAGTGAAAGTCTAGGCATATCAGCCTCCCAGGGATAAGTTTTTTCTGAACATCAACCTCAGGCTTCTCCAGTGGAACAATTGCAGTGAAACACTGCCTTCTGCTTCTGGCAAGCAGAGGTGGTTGTGAAAATTATGGCTGAATAATTCAAGATACTTATATATACCAAAATCTACAGATATTTCTGATTTTGGAAATACTCCCTTAAGCATGCACATTGTATTTGAGTTTCCAAATGGCTTGTCTGTAAGATATTTTGATGTTTGGAAGTTGTGAAAAATCTTTATTTTTCATAAATGCATGGGTTGGTGCAATTATAAAACAACCCCACCCAAACGAACAAAACAAAACCCCCAAAACCAAACCAAACAACAACCAAACAAAACCACAAAAAAGCCTTCAAACCCTTCCTTTTTTATCTTATACCTCTTTTTTGCACTGTGAAGTCAATTTGTCAATTAGTTTTGACCTGTTTTGGTTAGATGTACAGTGTGTTAACCTCATACATTTTAGCTTAAGCCAAATAGGAAATTTAAATAGCAAAAGTTCATATGCATGTCCCGGATAATTTCTAAAATGAGATATTCAGGAAACTACTGATGTTGCCAGTGAAGTTTTATGTAAATGCTCTTGTTTTAAAGCTTGCATCTCTCTAAGGCTTTCTTCAATATTTTCGTACTTGTTGATGATGGGATTTTTGCTGCTACAGTGAATTTACCTAGGAATATCTTTTTCCTTAAACCAGAAAGAACTCTGCAATATGATACTTGACTGCTGTGCTCAGCAAAGAACATATGAGAAATTCTTCGGGTTACTGGCAGGGGTGAGTTCTGTTTTCAGATTTTATGCTTTATGGTAGGTTATTTAATTTGGTTTACTCTTTTTTTTTTTTTTTTTTTTTTTTTTTTGTTTGTTTGTTTGTTTGTTTGTCAAACTTAACTCTTAATGGATAAATAAAACTAATAGTCTTTAGCATTCTGGAAATGTTTATATTAGTTGATTGGTTACATTAGCGAATTGGATTAACATTTTAATTGTAATAAGCATAGTGAATGCAGAATGAGAGAACTAATTTTCTCTTCATATCATGGCATTTTTTATTTTTTTTTTTTCCCCTCCCTCTTTTCTCATTGAGGTGGAACAATAAATCAGTGGCAAAGGAATGGTACCAAAACAAGGTTAAAGTAGTATGGGTTACCAGAAGATACTCTTTTTACAGTACTGAAGTTTAATTTTGGAGACTCTCATCTTTTTTGCCATTTTGTTCAAAGCTGCTTAGTAGTTTGGTTTTTTTTTCCTTAGAGCACAAGACTGAATACCTTCTGTTGAGGAGTTAGGGGTGGGTTTTTTGTTTGTTCATTTTTCAGCAGACAGCTAGCTCTTTGGTTTTGTGTACTAATTGGAAATTTAGTTGCAGCTGTTTCTTAGTTAAGTTTTCCTTATCTATGATATTGACAGATCTGACGAGTTAAGATAGAATTCTTGTCTTCTAAAGGGAGCAGGTTATGCTGAGAGGCAGTGATTTTTTCCATTTGTATTTTTATGCAGATTTGAGGAAGTACTTCTGCAGTCAGTTACAAAGCACTAACCATATGAATCTACAGGTTTAGTAGTCTGTAAATGTTGATTTCCATGTTCTTTGGAATGTTTATATCCAACCTGTCTTACCTGCTGCCTCTCTAATTTTAGTCATTCATTGATGTTGTGTATAAAAAGTTACATTTGATAGGGTTACATCGGGTGAAAATACTGGATGTGTGGAAGTAAAAGAAATTGCTGAATATCTTGCTGTAGTTCATAATTGATAATTACTACTTTGCAATGCAGATGAGTCTCTTGTTCTGACAAACTGCTGAAAGCAATAAAATATATTCATATGAAGGTATTTTCTTCTCCTCCAAGGGTTATTTAAAAGGAAAACCTTGCAGTAAATATTATTTGCACCATTAGGTCACTTACATGTAGGTTATTTGCATGTCTAATATTTTGTATAATCTGGTTCTTTAAATTGTACAATGTTTTCTCAGCGTTTCTGCATGTTAAAAAAAGAATATATGGAATCCTTTGAAGCTATTTTCAAAGAACAATATGATACCATTCATCGTTTGGAAACGAACAAACTGAGAAACGTTGCCAAGATGTTTGCTCATCTACTGTACACCGATTCAATTCCCTGGAGCGTAAGTAAAAAAAGCTGTTGTCCTAGATTCCTTTTTCAATAACTAATTTCCAGTTTTTGGAAACAGTTACATTAGTTTTAGTATTTACAATGTGGAACTACTTGTATTCATAGCAAACTGGATTCTGTTGAACAATTCTGGTTTGCTCCATATCCTCTTTCTTCCCCCTGTGCATAGTCATCCTCCCAACCCATTCTTCAATAGTTGATTTGAGCTGTTATTTTCTGGAGCTCGTCTGGAATTGGTTGATTAAAATGTACTACTTTTAGAATTTTGGACTTTTAATAGGCAATCTAAATAGCAGAACTGTCCCTAAAAAAAACAGACTAAAGAAACCTTTTTAAATTATCTTTATATATAAAATTAGAGGTTTTATAGAATTATAAGAAATATTAAAATATTGCCATTTTGTGATTTAAGTGCCAAACAAAAGCAATCTTGCATTCTGAGATATAATAATACAACGTTACAAGTGAAGAAATAAATATCAAAGTAACTTCTCTTTTCATACTGTTTTAGTCTTATTTCATATCCCAGTCTAATTGTCATTCTTCAGGCACACAAGTCCAAATACTTAGCCTTTTTAGAACTTAAGCCCTATATCTTTGATTTCCCGGAAGTTCACACTCCCATGGAGTTTTGCTGGCTAAAATAAGTCATTAAAGAATTACTAGCGTAAGTATGATCAGAAACTGCTTCCAGATGGTAGAAAAGAGTTTTTGAGGAAGAAAGTCTTGACTAGGGATTTACAGGATTTACTTTCTCGGGGGCAGGTAGTGGAGAAATCAATGTTTAGTTATTTTAGGGCGACAAAAGTTTTTAAGGTAAATAAAAGAATGTATGTTTAAGCTTAAGGTTTTTCTCTAAATATTTTTCTAAATATTTTCAGGTCCTCGAATGTATAATACTGAGTGAAGAAACTACCACATCCTCCAGTAGAATTTTTGTCAAAATATTCTTTCAGGAACTCAGTGAATATATGGGACTTCCTAATCTAAATGCAAGATTAAAAGATGAGTAAGTTGAAATTTTATTTTCAGAACTGTGGATTCAATTAGTTTCTTTATCTGAAAAAGTACAACTAAGAACTCTTGTTTTCAAGTTCAGCTAAGACTGCAGTTCTGTAGCTGCAGTACTTCAAGACTAAGTTCATTTATAGATTTAGTCACTTCAGAGTCCCATTAAGCTGAGCATGATCCCATCAGTGTTACCCTTTTCGTTATTCCCAGTAATACTCAGCTTGTATAAGAATTTTCAAATTTCAAGTTTACTTTTGTGTATTATCAGCTATATAGCTGTGTAATAAATGTGGCTTCTTCTTATGACGAAACTTAGGAAAAGCACGTAACTATTAATAACAGTTTTCCTAGGATTAGTTACTTATCCTCAAGTGTATCTTAAATAGCACATTCTTTTAAGCCTGTTTGTGGTTTAATACATTGCATTCCCGCAGTGTTCCTTTCAGTTGTTTGAACTATTTCCTGTAAGTTGGAATTTTTTTATGTGTGATGAAGAATTAAGAAGCTGCTTTAGCTCATGTAAATTTAAATTTGAAATTATCTTTAGGCCTCTGTTTGATTGAGACTTCAACATAAATACCTAAGTCTTTGAACTTCTTAATCAACAAGCGGTATCCTTTGCTCTCACAGGCTGCTGCAATTTGACAATTCTCTTCAGGGTTTCACAAAATCAGACTTTCTGTTGTCATAATCAGCAGTATATATGTAACTCTTCTGTGTGTGAAGAAGTTTGTTTTCATAAAAGAGCAAGTTTTGAAGTAGCATTTTGGTAAGATGCATCACAGATATTAACAATGAAAGTATAGAAAAATGCAGGAAGAGAAAATTTTTGCTGTCCTATGGACAACCACACAGTTTCCTTTTCAGCTTATTAATGTCAATGAGAATTAGTGCTAAGCAGGCATAATGTTTAATTTAGATGTTTGTTTCCATCAGAACACTGCAGCCTTTCTTTGAGGGATTACTGCCTCGGGATAACCCAAGGAACACTCGCTTTGCCATCAATTTCTTTACTTCTATTGGCCTTGGAGGACTAACGTGAGGAACACTTTTCTGATTTTATATTTACTTTCCCTATCTCCCCTCACCCCTGCCAAAAAAAACCCTAAAAATGAAATTTTCTTGTTAATTAGGGATGAATTACGGGAGCATCTTAAAAATGCACCAAAGATGATAATGACACAGAAACAAGATGTTGAGTCATCAGATTCCTCTTCATCTTCAGAGACAGACTCTTCCTCAGATTCTGATTCTGATAGCAGCAGTAGTAGCTCAGAGTCATCCAGCAGCAGTGACTCCTCATCTAGCAGTGATGACAGCAGTGACTCAGGTACTTAAGTACTAGCTATGTAGCTATTTGCTTCTCTTTTATTTACTTCTATACACCTGTTAATTTCTATTTCTGTGTATACTTGTTTTGAGGAAAAACTAGCTACAGTGTCCTTTCCTCTGCTTTAGGAACTAATCAATTAGTTTAAATTTACATGGTTTAAAGTATTAATATTGCTAGTGGAAATTTATGCTAGAATTTAGAGAAACTGATTTCCATTTTAATGGACTTAAATATCTGAGGAACATTGTTTTGTAGATTACTTTTTTACACAGTTAATACCTCCTTCTTCCATTAAACTAAAGTGCTAGTACTGTGCAACAGGTATTAGACTCATTCCTTATTAATATCTTTGTGGGATGCTTACTGGTGAATTGTCTCTATTTCTAATTCCTCTTCTTCAGGAAGACTTTGTGTGGTGATACAGTGAGGGTTCTTACCTGTAGAGAAATCTCCAAGGAAGAATTAGCTTTTGCTGACAACTTAGTTTCTTGTCTTTCTATGCATTATAATTGTTTGGCATCTTACACCATCCTGCTGATGTAGAACCTTCTTTTTGACATGAAGTGTCATAAACATTGCTTAATCTATAAAGTAGTATGCGTTAGTGTGCACATTGGGTATAAAGTGAGCAGATGATAACACAGCATGACTTTCTATAGTATAGAAGCTTGCTGATTCAGAGTTAATTTGCTTTATTATGTGCCTTTGAACTGAAAATGTTTAATAAAATAAAAGCAGTGTGAACTGTTCATGCTTTAGAAATGCATTTTTGTTTTCCATTGCGATCTTACTGTACAAAGTCTGATTTGTGTGTCATTGCATTAATGGCATTAATGACGACAGCACTAGAGAACGGTACAGTTAAACAGGGTCAGAGAGGCCTTGGTTCAGCAAAGAGCCAGATCTGCACAGACAGCTGCAGCTCTGCTGAGCTGCTTGATAGGAATCAGAGAGCTAAGTCCTTAGTGACAAACCAACAGAGTCTGCAGTCTGCTAGTACAAACGCTTTATTCTTGTAGGTTTAGGATCTTCCTTTTTTACTACTTGTCCTTTCTCCATTCAGGAACACATTCATAAAAAACCGTGATATCTTTGCAGCCTGGTTTAACTTCTTTCCCCCCTACACTACTTCAGTGGTTTGACAGTGCAGTGTATAAGAGAAAATAGAAAACCTGCTGATTAGAAATTGAACATAAGCTAAACTAGAGATTACTGTCTTACTGACAACTAATGTGTGGAACTGCTCCAGCTAGCTTAGTTCAGCACTGCTCTAGAGAGGTCATTCCAACCAAAACAGGTCCAGGGGAGGACAAAGTTTGTCCTATCAGAACAGCTTGTTCCTTTGTATTTTTTGATCCATCATCATGTTTTATCAGTATGCCAAGAAGCCTTAAGTCAGACACAAGACTAGCAGCTGCTGTAGGATTCAGATATTTGGTGTACTACTAAATCAGTTTGTGGCTGTGGTATTCTCAGAAGGTGATTAGAAACAGCTGTTACGGTACTGAAGTTCATACAATATAGTGAATTAATGTTTATTCTAAATGGCTGTTACTCATAAATACTGTCAAGTGAAACCTAGGTTTTCATTTTAAAAAAGCAAACTCTTCCACTGAGGTAAGCACTACTGTGTATTTTTAAATATGTAAGCTAGATGTAGTCTTAAATTGTTGACAAAGCTGTCACTGTTTCTCCTGAAAATGAGCCAGAGGGCCATTGTTATGTTGGTGCGGTACCACTCTCTCAAGCCATTTCAGCATGCCTCTTGTTTCCTCATAAGATAGTGTTCTTGTGTTAATAGCAATGGAGTTACTAGGAAATACTGAAGCTTGGAAGAAAATGGAGAGTAGTCTTGGGCTTGATAGTCAGCTCACACTTACATAGACAATTTCTTATTTTATGTAAAATAGAAAGCCTGTAATGCAGATGCATGTTTGAAGATAATCAGTACCTGCTAAATTAAAGAATGGGTGAATTTTCCCCCATTGTGTGAGATGGGGGGGAGGGGAATAAAATCCAAGCTTATTAGTTTGAAACCTTTGTCGAGATATATACACACAGATGTTTTCTGACAAAAATTAACTCTCTAGAACTTTCTGTGTAAATTAACAAGCGTAATAAATTAAAATGTAGTTTTATTCCCTTACTGTTTTATAATTTCAGACGTTTCTAAAGCCAAAAGAAAGAGAATGCAAAGGAAAAATAGAGAATCTGATAAAGGTTCCAGGAAGAAACAAGAAAGGAAAAGACAATCACATGAAAAGAAAATGAGAAGGAGGCAGCAAGAGGAAAGGAGTGATACTGAGAGCAAATCAGAAAGAAATCACCGAAAGTTGAGGGAATCGCACAGGAGAGATGATGTATCAAAATACCATCACAGAGATGAGTCCAATGGCAGAGACAGTTACCACAGTGGAAAAGATAGGAACCATGAAAGAAGTAAGGATCTAGAAAAACACAGTAATTCAAAACCGAAGAAAGCAGAGAGAAGAGCTTCATTTTCTGATGATGAAAATTACAGGCACTGGAGCAAAGATAACGAACATCACAGTAAAAGAAGAGAAAGATCAAGATCTGGAGAGAGGGCCCATAATAATTCAAGTCCCAGAGAGGAGGAACAAGAAGATCGATACAGAAATGGTTCAGAGAAGCACAGAGAGAAGTACAACCGTTATTCTGACCAGTACAGGGAATCCAGAGAATCCAGAAAGAATGAGGACAGACGAAGGGAGAACACCCCACACAGACGAAAATAATGCCTAGCCAGAGGCTGAAATTAATGTGCATTTCTGAGCTGTTAAAGCTGTATCTTAAAACATGTTACTGAACTGTCTTTAAAAGCAAGAATTTTGTACAAAGTGATAGTTTGCATTTGTAAATTTTATTAGTCTTTTTCAGATTTTCAGTACCACTTTTTTATAACTGTTGAATTGAGTCTTTCTGTTAAATTCTTCCTTTGGAAAGATGAAGCTCTTTATTTTGTGAATAAAACTATTAAGATCTCTGTGAAATGGGTGGTTTTGTCACTTAGTTTCAAATATTTGTAACTTTATAGTCTAAAAAGATCAGTTTTTAACTTTTCTTGTTAACTGAAAGGCAGATAGTAAGACTAGGGTGACAATATGTAAAAACCTGAGATTACAAGATGAATGTTAGAAGAGTAGGCTTTATGAAAACTTTTAAGCATCAGTACAAGTGCTTCTGGCATTCTGTTTATTCTTTTGACTGTGCAAACATAAAAGCAAGCTTGACCAAAATTTTCAGGAAATACTTATTTTTTTTCAGAGTTAAAAACTGGAAAAGCAATATTGCTGGTTTTAGTGTCACATTTGAAAGTGTGTCAACTTGTTCTGTTACTTTTCACGATGTTTTTTAATACTGTAACATCCTGAGCTAGTTACACTTGTGATTTTAAAAGGAAAAAAAAAAAGTGGGGTGTTTTGGGGTTTTTTTTGTTCAGGGTTTTTTTGTTTGTTGGTTTGTTTTTTGTTTTTTTTTCTAACTTAATTTGGTTTTAAAGTCATAGACTTCAACTCTAGCCCTACAAAGGAAGTGTTTGAGGGACATCTTTTCCATTTTTATATATGCCATGTAAAAATGAAATAGGAAAGCTAAATAAGAGGTGGTTCAAAACTTTTTAGACATTTTTCACTCTGTGGCTTGAAGTGCTCAAGTTTATTGGAAGCAAAGTTTAAAAAAAAAAATGAGAAAACAAAACCCCCTTAGTTGCTGCAGGAGTTTCTAGCACATAACATGTCCTACCTGGAGACATTTGAAGCAACTAGCTCAGAATTCATTGTATGAGTAATGAATCAAGATCATCTGGTTAAGACTCTAAATCTCATTTGTAACCAAGGAAAAGTTTGAAAGTCTTTCAGCATGAAATAGGAAATAGTGTGGACATGATCAGTAGGAAAGACAGAGGTGATAGCTGTATGTAAGGCAATTACTGGTGCCGTAAGATTACATCATTTTACTTTGTGAAATGAACACAATTGGTGGGCATATGAGAACTTATACATTTCATGTGTGAAATCATATTTCATCTTGTATAAAGCATAGGAAATATATTTGAGCTGTTTTGTAACAGAAAATGGAACAATTCCTAAGGAAATAGATCAGTTTTGCCGAAGTCTTGTCACAACATTTTTCTAAGAAAAATGTCACATTTTAAATTTTTTTCTGTATTTAACAGAATTTATTTCTGCAAGCCTTCATGTAATAAAATATTTCTAGCCAGAAACACTTGCATGAAAAATAAATTAATATTGCTGAGAAAAAAATATGGTTTCTATCTTGTTACACCACACAGTTAAAACCTTAGTGGCATCATGAGGTATATGTTGTTTAAACTGTGGTGGGTTTTTGTTGTCCAGCACACTTCTCATTTTCAAAATTATTTGTGCATTTTTGCGGTGTGCATTAATTCCAGGACAATTTAATTTCAAAGAACACTTTCTAAAAGTACTTCTGCTGATAATTGTTATGCTGCTTTGATAGCTCCCTACAAACATTATTGAAAATGATCTGTACTTCATAATGGTTTAATTGTACAAACTTACTTAATTTATCTAGAGTAATACTTCCCTTAACTATGTTATAGGCTTAATAGCATAAATTTTATTAACCTATAACTTTTGAGATAGTCTGCTAAAGTTAAAAAGCTTGTTAATTAAATGTTTAATAATAAAGCATGTTTATTTAAAAAAAAAACATGTTTATTTAAAAAACATGTTTATTTAAATAAAAAAGTGTTTGATCTCAGATGTGCTGATCAGGAAATGACAGCTTAAACATCTCCAATTTGTGATATTTGTTACAAGATGATAAAAATATAATGCTCTTTGTTGAAAAAAGGGAAAGGGCGAGATTAGGGCTGAAGCTGGGGTTTTAACTGCATTTACAATTTCTTGGCGAGCTTTCTTCTTTCAGTGTCTAGGATTATTAATAGATATTTAATAGAATGGCCTATTTAAAATATAAGTTATTTTTACCATTACTAGTCTGAGCAGGCTAATGTTAGCTAGAAGCAGTGAGACAATGAGCAGTAGTTGTCATGTGTACACATGAAGAGACACATGCTCAGAAGGGCTGCACTGTGGCAGCGCAGGGAGACTGGTCATTAATACCGAGAGTGTTCCCAGTTTTTAGCAGACAATTGCTTAAGGACTTCCTGAGCCAGAGTCACTTTGTGCATCTCAGTAAGGCCTTGACCATTAAATGGCCTAATTTAATTTATTTCAGGTGGATTTTGCAGCATCTTTTGCCAGGAGTTCCAGTATTTTGCTGTACAGTATGTGGGTAAGTATAGGGGTTTTTTATAGCTTCTGCCTGATTACTTTGGTTTGCTACTTTCCAATGAGTTTTCTGAATAATGGTTTGTAGTTGCCTCCTGCTTCTCATCTTGTGCGTGACTTTATAGACCTAAACACGTATATTCTTTGCCATTTCTTTTCCAGAAGTTAAAATGCATCTCTAATGTATGGTTGTGTGGAACTGCTCTATAACCCTGATCGGTTCTCCTGCCCTTCAGCTTTCAGCTTTTTGGTTTGGGGTTGTTTTTTGGTTTTTTTTGGTTGGTTGGTTGTTTTTTTGGGTTTTTTTTCCCTGGGAAAAGAAGTCAAAATGCTATGTAGTCTTCAAAGTGAGGGTATTCCCGGAGTTGCAAAGTGGCATAAGAGTTTTGGGGGTTTGTTTCTTTTCAGTGCATCCTCTCAATTGCTGTAGAGCTGAGGAATACACAGTGATCCTGGGCTTGTTTTCGTCAGCAGTAACAGCTAGTTGTAGACTGTGCCCAGTAATGAAGCGACTCATACATCTAGTCTATAATCAATATTGGAACTCTAGGTCTTGTTTTGAATAGCAGTTTTGTCTGAAAGACCTCAAGAAGTGTTGGTTCTGTGACTGTGCCCAGTATTTTGCTCAGTTGTTAATCCTTGTTACTTAAAAACATGATTGAAACAGCTCAGCCTTCATTTTCTGATGTTGAGTCTGGTTATGACTTCTGTTTAATAGACCTCTGCTGTCAGAAGTCACCTGATGTAGGTACCTCTGGGCTGTGTCCAGGTAATGGCTTGGTTGCCTCTCAGGTAGTATAAATACTAAGCTGTTTTGGTCTTGCTGCACTACAAGTTTCAAACACAAGTGCTCTTTACTCTAAAGAATAAAAGTGTTATGTCAGAGAAATGTGCTGTGTATTGGCCCTGTAACTAGCAAACTATACTGTTGGTCTTCAAAATGTGTTAGGAGTGGGGGTGTTGGGCATCTGGGCCTTGGTCTTCACGGTGTGTTTGAACATGCAGCTGTTGTCAGATTCTTGGGTTGGGTCACACAGTCCCTCATGCTGGTCAGTGATCAGGGATGAGTACCTGTTGTGTCGGGCTGTGTCTACTAACTGTGTTCGCCTGGCAGGGAAGATGGCTGCTAGGGGAAACTTCCAGACTCAGCTGGGTCTGAGCTGCTGTGAACCAAGAAGATGTTTGGGAAGGAACTTGTGATGACCTCTTTCGATCTTGCATGCTTACTACCTTTCAAGGGTGGTTGTAATAACTAAGTCCGTAGATACAGTAAGAGAGAATTCATCCCTTTTGCTAGGGCTCCCTGGCCAAGTATCTGAATTTCCTTACCGTGGCAGCATTAGGTGTTACGGAGATAAGCTGTAACAAGACCATCTGGTTATATAAATCATCAAAGTATTACCTCATAGTATTACCTTTCATAGTATGAAAGCAGTTAGATAAATTCTGGGACAAAACTATCAACTCATTTGGTTGAAAATACTTCAAACTTGTCATTAACAGATCATGCTTTCTAAAGCAGCTTTAGTTGCTATATAAGCAATATTGCAGTCTTTGAATTGTAGGTAGTTCATCTTCACATTTCTGCATAAGAATGGGAACCTGACTACAAAAATGGGGTGGTTTTTTTTTGTTTGTGTTACTCATGTTAAATGGATTTTACAAACAGGTCATGTACATCTGAAAATCAAATTCAATATTGAAAATTACTAGTAGTACTAATTAGATTTAGATGCTGTATTATTTAACCTGGTAGCATGATGTTCTATAATTTACTTAGGGCTCCAATGACATAACTGTTCTTAACTTTTGAATGCAGGGTATACTCTAAAATAGTGTAACACATGTCAAATACATGAGCTAGGATGGACACTTCAAGCTCCAATAGCAATTTAAGCACCTCCCTGTTATTAATTTATAGTTTTATGGCTATAAAAAGACACTAGCTCATCTTCATTCACTGTTCTTTAACTACTTATCTTTCACTGGTGAAGAAAGCATAAGGCTAATTTCCTTGGAAAATCTAAAAAAGCAAGAGCCTATTACTATAGACATTACTATGTCTAGTATGTAGAAAGAATTGACTTCAGTTACTCTAATAACGTTCAGAGCAATGTGTCCTTCAATTTATATTCAGTTAGGTAAGTCAGTATATTTAAAAGCTTTTTTACATGTGAAAATATTTTGTTTAAGAAATGGTAAACTCAAAATGGAGAATAAAGAGGCATTTTAAGCATTTTAATTAAACTCTACATAAAACATGTATTAGTAGGTTAAAAGTGGCATGGGCAAAATGCTACTTTATACCGGAAAACCTTTAGGTCATTTCAGGAGATGTTCTGCTTTTTATATGTTTTCCTAAGGCAAGTCTGTAATTTGGCTGAGACTAGTTCGGGATTTTCTTTTCTTGTCTACTCATGACTATCATCACGCATTTCCTTCTAACTTCGAAGGGAAAA